GGGGGGGACACGTGCCGTTGTTGAGCCCTTCTTTCCTTCTTTACGGGGGGAGGGACACGTGCGGTATGACCTCTACTCCCTCTTGACATGGGGGGGACACATGCGGTGTGAGCCCTCCTTCTTGTGACGGGGGGGGGACACGTGCGGTGTGAGCCCTGCCTCCTGTGACGTGGGGGGGGGCACGTGCGGTGTGAGCCCTGCTTCCTGTGACGTGGGGGGGACACGTGCGGTGTGAGCCCTGCCTCCTGTGACGTGGGGGGACACGTGCGGTGTGAGCCCTGCTTCCTCGTGATGGGGGAGAGGGGGACACGTGCGGTGTGAGCCCTGCTTCCTGTGACGGGGGGACATATGTGGTATGAGCCCTGCTTCCTGTGACGGGGGAGGGGGAACATGTGCACACATGAGACAGGTCGAGCCACAGGAACCAGCTTCCGTGGTAATGGTGTTGATCACTTATGGTGTGGTGCCCTCCTGTTGACGCTGGTCCCCGCAGCTGAATTTCAGCTGTGCTGGCCAGTTGTGCATGGGTCAGCCGGCTTCTGCTCAGGAAATCAGCACCCATATCAGCACTTCTTCCTCTTGTTTTTTCGTTTAATGATTATTTTTATGTATTTGAAAAGTAGAGTTAAGAGTAAGCAAGTGAGCAGGAGATCCCACTGGTTCACTCTCCAAATGGCCGCAGTAGCCAGGGCTGGGCCAGGACAAAGCCGGGAACCTAGAACTCCATCAGGTCTCCTGGATGGTGGCAGGGGCCCAGGTAGTTGGGCCGTCTTCCCCTGCTTCCCCAGGCCGTTAGCAGGGAGCTGGCTCGGAAGTGGAGCAGCCGGAACTGAACCAGCACTCACACCAGGTGCCAGCCTTGCTGCCTGGCTTCTGCTCCGGTTCCCTGCTGGTGCCCGGGAAGCAGCAGCGATGGCCAAGTGCCTGGGCCTGCCACCTGGACCTGCGTGGAGTTTCTGGCTCCTGGCTCCAGCTGGCCCGGCTCTGGTTGTGGCCATCTGGGGAGTGAACCAGCGGATGGAAGATCTCCCTCTGCCTCTGCCTCGCTGTAAATCTGCCTTTCAAATAAATAAACAAATCTTAATTTTTTCTTTTTACTCCTTGAAGGTGTTTGGCTTGCATTTTCTTTTTGGAAACATTCTGGCGTCAGGTCACGGGGCAGCGCGAGTGTTGGTGACAAAGCTTCCCTGTGATGTAGTGTTTCTGCCCTGTTGGTTCAGTGAGAAAGGTGACGGACTTTTTAAAAGAAAAGCGCCTTTTGTTTCCCGAGTAGGAGGCTGCCACACACTTGTGTGTCTGGCTGGTGTCCCAGGACTGTGCGTATGTTCACTTTGAGAGGAATAGTGCCTTCTAAGTGAGACTGGTTTTGTTTTAAATCCACCGTGAACCTGCGCACTTGCTGTGAAGAGAGTAATGCAGGATAGGTGATACGGAATCTTTTTTGAGTTTGTTTTTTATTTTCCTATTTGGCTGATCTAAATAGTGGTTTTGACTTCAGTTGTAAGAAATCTCATTTGTGGTTTTGTTCCTTGAGTAAGTCGGTGTGGGTGAGGTGAGCCTTGGCGTGGGGAGCGGGTGCGGGGAGAGGGCCCCGTGCTGTGGGGACCCCCGGGACTGTCCTGTGCTGCCGGTGGCAGACGGCCGCTGACCATCGGCTTTCTTTTCCAGGTGTACATTCAGGTTCCCGAGCACAAACATCAAGATCACGTTCACTGCCCTGTCCAGCGAGAAGAGAGAGAAGCAGGAGGCGCCCGAGTCCCCGGTGAAGCCCGTGCAGCCGCACATCTCGCCCCTGACCATCAACATTCCAGACACCATGGCCCACCTCATCAGCCCCCTGCCGTCCCCGACGGGGACCATCAGGTACAGCACGCGTCCTCCATGACAGGACAGGCCCCTGTGCCCCCACACCTTCCCTGGGGCTGGGTGACCAGAGCCGTGAGCTTCTGGGACCCTGCTCTCCGTTCCCTGCGGTAGGAAGTGCGTCCCACGTAGTCCTGTCTTCCAGTCGCTGCTTTGGAGTGGAGCAGACTTGAAGGACATGTAGACTTGAAGTAATGTTGGTCTGAGGGCTAAGACAGGTGTTCACGTGCATTTTGAGTGTTTTGAGTTTGCTGCTATTTCCTGTAAGATCTGAAAACATTCACTTTGGTTTGCCCACGCTGAAGGGGCCACCTGGTGTCCGTGATGGTGTCCTGAGAGGCTGGAGGAAGCAGGGGAGGCAGCTTCCAAGCGCACCCATGCTGGCCACTGCGGGCAGACTGGAACCTCACACTGCGGCTAGGTTCATGGAGGACTCGAGTGGCTTGTGGCGAGGACAGCCTGGGTGCACGGCGTGCTCTGTGCTGCTCCGGGGTCGGGTGGGCTGAGCACGTGGTCTGAGGAAGCCGCGCCGTGGCCCTGCTTCATGCTGTCCGTGCTGAGTGGAGACGAGGGTGCATCTGGGCATCCTGGCCTACATGATGCTGGGCTGGGGGTAAGCAGACATGTTTGTTTCTCTCCAGGGTCAGGGCCCTGCTCCCTGGGTCTCTCCACAGGGCAGGGCAGGGCAGGGCAGGGCAGGGCAGGGCTCCTTTTAGACTGCCCAGAGCTGTCCCTTACATGTGCTGATGGGGGAGAGAGGACACTCAGACAGCTCTGGGTCACACCTGTAGTCGCTCATCAGTGGTAGACCTCCTAGGACTGAGGAGGCTGAATAGATAAACCCATTGTGTGCAGGGGTTGGAACCTAACATTGTGACCATGTTGAGGTCACAGAGGAACTGGCCAGCGCAATCACTGTGAAATCCCAGTGACTTTATTTTATTTTGTTTTTTGTTTTTTTGGTGGAAATAGAAAACCCTTCCTAAAACACACGAGATTTCCAGGGCCCAGATAGGAAAGCAGTCTTCAGGAAGCAAAGGGAGAAGACTGAGACGCGAGCTTCTGAGCCCACACTTAGGCGAAGCCGCAGCAATGCCAGCAGAGCGGGACCAGGGACGGGACAGAAGGGAGCCCGCGCTCGGGCGGCCAGGCACGAGGACAGGCTTCCCCACAGGTGGTGCTGGGGCTCCGGAAGCCCGACATTCACGGGCAGCTCGGTGCTGTGGAGACCCGGAAGAAGCTCCTGGCTCCTGGCTTTGCATCGGCGCAGCTCAGGCCGTTGTGGACGTCGGGGAGTGAACCCTTGGATGGAAAATCAATCAAACAGTCCCTCCCTCCCTCTCCCTCTCCCTCTCCCTCTCCCTCTCCCTCTCCCTCTCCCTCTCCCTCTCCCTCTGCCTCTGCCTCTGCCTCTGCCTCTGCCTCTGCCTCTGCCTCTGCCTCTCTATAACTCTGTCTTTCAAATAAATAAATAAATACAATGAAATACAATTAAAAAAAAAAGAGAGAGTGAAGCTGGACCCGTCCCTGACCCCCATAGAAGAGTGAACTCACGCAAAGACGACTGCTGAACTCTTGGAAGAATCGGAGGATGGAAGCTGTGCAGGAATTTGTACTTGACGCCAGGCCTCGGCAGCAGAAGAATAAAGACTAAACTTTATGAAAACTAAAACGTTGGCTGGCGCCGCGGCTCACTAGGCTAATCCTCCGCCGTGCGGCGCCGGCACACCGGGTTCTAGTCCCGGTCGGGGCACCGGATTCTGTCCTGTTACCCCTCTTCCAGGCCAGCTCTCTGCTGTGGCCCGGGAGTGCAGTGGAGGATGGCCCAAGTCCTTAGACCCCTGCACCTGCATGGGAGACCAGGAGAAGCACCTGGCTCCTGCCTTCGGATCAGCGCAGTGCGCTGGCCGTCGCGGTCATTAGGGGGCTGAACCAATGGAAGGAAGACCTTTTCTGTGTGTCTCTCTCTCACTGTCTAACTCTGCCTGTTTAAAAAAAAAAAAATTGTGCATCAAAAGAATATAAACAGTAAACACACAATGCACAGAATAGGAAGAAGTATTTGCAAATCGTACGTCTGATAAGGGGTTAATATCCAGACTACCAGACTATATGAAGAACTCTAACAACAACAGAAAAATAACTTGATTGAAAAATGGGCGAAAGGACTGGGGCATTTGGCTCAGAGATTGGGCTGTTGCTGGGGGCACCCACATCCCAGTCCCAGGCCAGCTTCCTGCTCATGCACTTGGGGGCAGCAGTCAGTGGCTCAAGTCCTTGGGCCCCATCACCTACTTGGGAGACCAGGATGGAGTCCCCACCCCACCCCACCCCACCCCCTTCTTAAAGACTGACTTATTTATTTGAAAGGCAGAGTTACAGAGAGGCAGAGAGGGAGGGAGGGATGGCGGGAGGGAGGTGTCTTCCATCCACTGGTTCATTCCCTACATGGCCACAGTGGCCAGAGCTTGACTGATCCAAAGCCAGGATCCAGGACCTTCTTCCAGGTCTCCCACGTGGGTGCAGGGACCCCAGTGCTTGGGCTATCTTCTGCTTTCCCAGGCAGAGAGCTAGATGGCAAGTGGAGCAGCCAGGACTCGAACCAGCGCCCCATGGGATGCTGGCACTGCAGGGGGCGGACTAACTTGCTACTCCACAGTGCCAGCCCCTGGAGTTCCTGTTTTTTGGCTTCGTCCTGGCTTTTGTGGGCATTTGAGGAATGAACCAATGGGTGGAAGATCTCTCTTTTTCTCTCTCTCTCTCTCTCTCATAAATGGAGAGAAAAAAGGGGGAGGAGATAAAAGACATTTTTTGAGAGAAAATAGGGAAGCAGCACATGGGAAGACGTCAGTACCACTCGTCAGTAGGAAGTGCAGTTCACCCTGAGACACCGCTGCACTGCCGCCAGGACTGCTCCTTTGGGAAAGCAGAGGCAGAGTCATTGGTGAGGGTGCGGAGAGTGAGGGCTGTGTGCTGTTGGGGGGGCGGGCGTGTGCAGCTGCCAGGAACAAGGAAACAGCACCACCCGCGTGGAGGTGGCACCACTCAATAGCCCAGAGGTACCTGGAGAAGCAGGAGGCAGGTCTCCAGGCGCTGGCGTTACTCATTTGCAGAGCACCAAGGACGCTCCGGCCGGAGTTGTGGGACCCCTGGGGCAGGGCGCCCTGTGAACCAGGAGGAGCTCACAGGCCGGTGCTGGAGGGTTCCCCAGGCGGCGGATCACAGAGTCAGGGAGGAGTGCGGTTGGCAGGCGGGGACAGAGTTGTGGAGAGGGACGAGAGGGTCGCTGCTGATGGCTGTGCAGCTGCGTGCAGCCCGGAGTGCTGGTTTGAGTCCCGGCTTCACTTCTGATCCAGCTTCCTGCTAATGAGCCTGGGAAGGCAATAGACGATGGCCCAAGTACTTGGTCCCTGCTACCACCTAGGAGACCTGGATGGAGTTCTGGGGTCTCCATCTGGCTGCAGCCTGGCCCAGCCCTGGCTGTTACGGGCCTTTGGGGAGGGAACCAGCGGATGGAAGGTCTCTCCTTCCAGTGCCTGCCTCTCTGTCACTCTGTCTTTCCAAGACCGCGTGAACCTGCTCAGTGCTGGCTGTAGCACGGATGCTGGTGAGACAGTGAGCTCTGTGTGTTGTGTCTTGCCACCCTAGAGCACTCTGGAGGGAAGTGAGCACTCTGGAGAGAGCGTGTGGTGCGTGACTGTGAATGGGGGGATGCCAGGGCCCAGCTGCTGGCCCTGCTGCCGGGCCCTAGTTCTGCTCTGCCTTCTCTCCCGTTCGTGTGAATTTGTCTGTGTTCTACTAACTGGGCTGAACAGCTCCAAGTCCTGCTGCACTGGGCAGAACGTGTGGGAGTCACAGGCTGGGCTGGCCAGCGGAGGGCAGGGAGGGCAGTGGCTGGAACCCGAGGTTTGGGTCACTGCTGACCCAGACCCTCCAGACTTCCCAGGCCCCCAGGACCACCCCCACCCCCGCCCCCCCGCGCTCGCCTCCTCTCGTTGGCAGCACACTCGGCCGTGTTGGGTCGGTGGCGGGGGTGGAGCCTGCCTGCTGGTGGCTTCCAGGGGAGCAGCCTGCCTTCCCCAGCCACCCTCCAGCCCTCCTCAGGCCTGCACTGTGTCCTGTGCTGCCTAAACACTGACCAGGCTTCATGCTTGGCCAGAGCAGTCTTCTTGGTTCCTGCTGTCTGTCCTGGCCTGCATTGTGGCTTGAGTCCTGGCCGCGCCACCCCAAAGCTCCTAGCTCCTGGCCCAGCCACCTGGGGAGTGGAACCACTGGGTGGAAGTACTGTCCCCCCCTTCCCCTCTCCTCCTCCCCCGTTCTCCCCTTCTCTCTCTCTCTAATTCTTCCCTTCCAATAAATAAATAAAATCTTACCCCCCCCCCAAAAAAAAAAAGCAAGAGAGGGAGAAACCCGAAGACCCTCCCTCCACTGGTTCACTCCCCAAATGGCTACAATGGCCAGGATGGGCCAGGCCAAAGCCAGGAGCCTGGAGCTCCATCCAGGTCTCCTGTGTGGGTTACAGGGGCCCAAGCGTTTGGACCGTCTGCTGCTGGTTGCCCCGGCACGTTTACAGGGAGCTGGATTGGAAGTGGAGCAGCTAGAATGTGAACTGGTGCCCGTACGGGATGCCGGCACTACAGGCAGGGCCTAACCCACTGCACCACAGCACTGGCCCCATCTCTGCCTTTCAAATAAATAAAGCAAGTGGTTTAAAAAAAAGTTAGGGCTCAAATATTTAAAAAATAGTTCCGTGTGCTCGGTGTGCTCAGTGGGTGGGTGCGAGGCAGGCGGCCCCCTCCCCTCTCCCCGCAGCCCCTCTCCCTGTAGTACTACGGGGAGCGTGGTGCCTGAGTCATCCCAGCCCCGCTCCACTGCTCGGCCTCGTGCAGGCCTGGGAATGTCGTGGAAGAGGGCCTATGTACTTGGCCCCTGCCACCTGGTGGGACACCACAATGGAGCTCCTAGCTGCTGGCTCAGCTTGGTCCAGACCTGGCTGCTGTAGCTGTTTGGAAAGTGACCTGATGACGGAGGCGCTCTCTTTTCTGTCTTCCCTCTTCCCTCCCCACCCTCTTCCTTTCTCTGCCTCATCTTCTCGCTCCCTCTTTTTCTGTCTCTGCCTGTCAAATAAATAAATCTGCAAAAAATGAGTCAGTGCAGGTGGCTGGGTGTTGTGACGCTTGAATGCTTGCACTGGTTTGCTTCCCGGCTGCTCCACTTCCAGTTCAGCTTCTTGCTGACGCGTCCTGGGAGGCAGCCGATGGCCCAGGTGCTTCGGACCCTGCCCCCCAGGGGAGACCCAGGTGGAGTTGCTGGCTCTTGGCTTCGCCTGGCGCAGCTCTGGCTGTTGCAGGCATTTGGAGAGTGAACCAGGGGGCAGAAGCTCTCTTTCTCTTTCGTACTATTGCTCTCTGCCTTCCAAGTAGATGAAAATAAAAATTTTAAAAATAAATATAAGAACCTGTTTCTGTGTTACCCAACCTTTTTTGGCCTGGGCATTGGGGAACTGTGTCCACAGCTCTGTCCCCAAGGGGCTGCCTGCCCTCCTCTCTGGCTCTCTGCTGCCCTGTCGCAGCTGCCCTTGGGGAGGGGCCAGTGCTCTGTGTCCCTCTGCCAGGCGTGGGCCTTGGACCCCCCGGGTCGCCTCCTGTCTTGGCAAGTCCCGGACCATCAGTGGTGAAGTGAGTGGGCCGATGCTTTCCTTGTGTTAGCTGAGGCGCCACACAGGGATGTGAGTGCCGGGTTTCTTGGCTCCTTGGTGATCTTGAATCTCACAGAGGGATGGTAAGAGCTGGCCCTCTCGCCTCCTAAAATGCTCATCCTTGTGTTTCCTGAGGAGCCGGCTGGTGAGGAAGCGCCGTGCGGCATGTGCCGAGAGACTAACAGGGACCCCTTGCTCTCCACAGCGCCGCCAACTCCTGCCCGTCCAGCCCCCGGGGAGCGGGGTCTTCAGGGTACAAAATGGGCCGTGTGATGCCCTCTGACCTCAATTTGATGACTGACAACTCGCAGCCAGAAAATGAGAAGGAAGCTTCAGGTGGAGACAGCCCAAAGGTAAAGCTATAGCCTGCCGGGACCGGGGCGGCGCTGTGTGAGCACAGCGCGGGTGGGTGGTGTCACGGTGCGGTTCTCAGCGCTGAGTTGTGAGTGCCCTCGGGTCACCATGCGCGTGAGGCAGCGGGCAGCAGCCAGGGCCCCTGCTGCAGGCTCGCCCGCCCCTGCGCTGGACAGTGGCACAGACGCTTGCCCGCACTTGCCCTGTGTGAACACAGCTGTTGATGGTTTGCGCCGGGACCCCTGCCTGGTTTTATTCTTTGACCTAGGGATTTGCCTTCTAGGACATTGTCCACCAGAAATGGACTGACGTTCATGTAGAAACAGAACATTGAAAGCCCCCTACCCAGCGCTCCACTGGGAGCAGTGGTTGAGGTGTGGAGGTCCCGGCAAGGGGCTTTGATGAGAAGGGGGCGCTCCTGCCACAGCGCCAATGGGGAAGACAACGTTTTGGTTTAACGTCGTGTTTAGGAGAGATGTAAGGTGTTCACGAAGAGGCACACAGCTGGGGTCCGCACACAGGCTGCCGGTGGGAGGGACAGAGCGGCCTGTGAGTGCCCTGCTCTCCGTGCAGCGTGGGCAGCCCTGACGACGTGGTCTCAGGAGCCTTCCTAGACGGTGGAACGTGACCGCCAGGTTGGGCATGACGATGGCCTCCTGAGACACGGAGGCCACGTGGAAGCTGCCTCTCCAGCACTGGCTGTGCACTGCTCCACAGACAGCGGATTGGTCAGGAGCATTTCTGTGTCAGATAATCTTAAATGAAGTGTTATCAGAATTACCTGGGAAAAGGCCGCGAGGAATTAGACCGGTCACAAAAGCACAGTGACCAAGGCTTCTCCCGGGTCAGGCACCCGGGCGCAAGGAGTGCGGCTCTGCTGGTCCCTCCGTGGATGCAGGGCTAGAGGTGGGAAGAGCAGCACCCGTGTGCCGACCGCAGCCCTCAACCTGAGCACTGACCCGGGGCCCCTGGACCGTTCCCGCCTCTCACTCCGGCTTTATCCCTGAGCACGGTCTGTAGCTGCTCACTTGTGAACTGTGTGAGTAGCCTCAGGGAGAGCTTGCTTCTGCAAGTTGCTGTTGTCACTGGGCTCTGGGTGTTGCTGTCACTGCCGTGGGTGGGTTATTTCCAGAATCTACTCCAAGATGGCGGCCTGCCCCAGGGCTCCTGCGATTTCGAGCTGTTTCAGTGATGAGCAACTTGCTCGTGAACTTGGGTGAGCTGGGACCAGGGTGCCAGTGGCCCGACAGCATCTGCTGTTGCGTGCACGGCTGTGCCGCCACCTTGGGGGACGGCGTTCGGGCAGTGGTGCTGCTGCCGGCACTCTCACCTCTCGTGCCCGCAAGGTTCCCACGAGGTCGCTGCCGGGTGCCTGGCTGCACGCAGAACTCTGCGGCAGTGCGCACCCGCAGACTCCACTGGGTCCAGCAGCTTTCGCAGTTCTTACCTTGTGCCTTTTGGATTTTCTCCTTACATAACTTCTACTATTCTTTTTCATGCTGCTCTAACTTGTCCGTTTGTGTCCTCCAAGTTTTCCAAATTCTGTTACTTTTCTTCTGATAATGCTTGGTTTTACTTACTTAAACCACCAGGAATTCTGGATTTGAGTAAACAGCTGTGACAGCATCAATACTTTTTGTCTGACGCAGGATGACTCAAAGCCACCTTATTCCTATGCACAGCTGATAGTGCAAGCGATCACCATGGCTCCCGATAAGCAGCTCACCCTCAATGGAATCTACACCCACATCACAAAGAATTACCCCTACTACAGGACTGCGGACAAGGGCTGGCAGGTAACCTGTCCCCGTTGGCTGTGTTTCTCTTGCACGTCGGACAGACGCCAGAGCTGCTCCGTGGAACGCAGGCGTGGGGCGAGGCGGCCCAGCAGGAGGAAGGCGTGGGGACTGGAGGGTGGGAGGCTGCCGCGCGCTGCCCAGCTCCTCGTGCGGACGCAGAGTGAAGAAGAAAAGCCAGCCCGCGGCGCCCCTGCGGCCCCTGGGGCCCTGGTGTGGACGCACTTGCTCCGAGCAGCCAGCGGCGAGCACCCGCAGGGGTGCTTTCACTCTGGCCCCCCTCGCCTCGCGCTCCCGCCTTGGTCTGCGTCTGCTGCAAGAGTTGTACCCAGGGTGCTGCGGGTTCTCTTTGTGTCTGGGCGTTGACTGGATGAGCCGTGTAGCTCCCTGGTACGATGGTGAGGAAGGGTGAATTTGAAAACCAGATTATTAAAAACATGGTAACAGAGAGCAGAAATGTGGGTCAGGGTTTTTACTCTTTGAGTAACCAGGGCCTGCAGAGCCGGCTCTGGGGCAGGCGTGGTGGCACCGTGGGTTAAGCCACCTTTGGAGATGCCCACCTCCTATGCTGGAGTGTCTGAGTCCCTCCAGCTCCCTGCTGATGCACCCTGGGAGGCAGTGGGCAGTGACCCAAGTGCTTGGGCCTCTCGACATCCATGTGGGAGACCTGGCGGGGCTCCTGGGCTCCTGGCTGCAGCCTGGCGCATCCTCAGCTGTAGGCGTTTTAGAGTGAGCCGGCAGATGGAAGATCTGACTGCCTTTCCCCCATCAGTCTGCCTTTCAGATAAATCTTTTCAAAAACAAAACAAGATGATTCATACAGCTTTGCCTGGAAGGGTGCAAGTTTCTTCTCTTTGGCTGTATTTTTCTTTTCTTTCCTTTTCCGCTCTTCCTCTCCCTTATTTATCTTTTTTTTAAATTAATTAATTTATTTTTTGACAGGCAGTAGACAGTAAGAGAGACAGAGAGGTCATCCTTCCGTTGGTTCACCCCCCAAATGGCCACCAAGGCCAGCACTGCACCGATCTGAAGGCAGGAGCCAGGTGCTTCTGGTCTCCCATGCGGGTGCAGGACCCAAGCACGGGCCATCCTCCACTGCCTTCCCGGGCCACAGCAGAGAGCTGGCCTGGAAGAGGAGCAACCGGGACTAGAACTCGGGGTGTCAGCGCCGCAGGCGGAGGATGAGCCTCGTGAGCCGCGGCGCCGGCCTTCTTCTTCGTCTGTTTGAAAGGCAGGATACTAGAGGAGACAGAGACGTCTTCCAGCCGCTGGGTCACTTCCCAGGTGGCTGCAGCAGCCGTGCTCGCTTGCAGGCCGAGCTGCTCCCACCGCCCCATGAGCCTGCTTTTCAAGCAAAGCAAGAGCTGAACAAGAGGCTGAAGCCTGGAGCCTAGAACCCATCTGGTCTCCGATGTGGGTGACAGAGTCCCAGCACGCGGCCATCCTCTGCTGCCTTCCCAGCTCGGTAGCAGGGAGCCGGCTCCCAGGTGGAGCAGGCAGGACTTGAAGCAGCGCTCCGGGAAGGAGTGCTGGTGTCGCAGGCAGCAGCTGAACCTTGGCTGTGTTCTGTGCCAGAATGACCTGTGGTTTCGTGCTGTGACCCCTCCCAGGATGATTTTTTGTGACAGCGTCTGACGGACCACGGGGGAGGGGTGTACACACCTGCCTGTCTCCCAGAGCTCTCACCCTGGGCCTTCTTCCCTGCGCCTGGCGTGGTTCCTTCTCATAGCAGCTTTCCAGCTGGTTCCTGTGGGTAGCCTAGTGGTGAAGAGCCCTCATCCGTGCCTCACGTGCCTGGTGTGATGCCAGGCTGTGGTTCCTGACAGGCGCCCTGCGGGTGCACCGCAGAGCCAGCTCCAGGACTTCGGTCTCTGATCTCTAAATCACTGGTGTCCAGTCAGTGGTTCCACGTAGCAGCCGAGGAGAGGGACAGGCATCCTTACCTGATCAAAGCACGAGGCCCTTCAGTTAGCCAAGACGTGTAGTTACATCATTCTGTTTGTGTCTCTATTAAACGTCGTTCTCTCTCTCTCTCTCTCTGGTAAAGATATTTATTAATCTGTTTGTTTGAAAGGCAGAGTTATGGTGGGGAGGGAGGGAGGGAGAGAAGGAGAGGGATCTTTAATCCGCTGATTCTTTCTGCAAATGGCCGCGGCAGCCGGGGCTGAGCCTGGTTGAAAGCAGGAGTCAGGGGCTCCATCCAGGTCTCCCACGTGGGTGCAGAGGCCCAGGCACTTGGGCCGTCCTCTACCTGCCTTTCCAAGCCATCAGCGGTGAGCGGGAATGGAAGTGCAGCAATGGCCTTGAACCAACGCTCCTGGGGTGCTGGTGTCCACAGCACTGGCCCAGAGTGTTGTGTTTTGTGGTCTTGTTGGCTCTCCTCCATCTCCCCCGCAGCGCTGTGCCTGCGAGGTCAGGTGTGGCGCACTCCGCCGTGTCTCCCCCGCAGCGCTGTGCCAGCGAGGTCAGGTGTGGCGCTCTCCGCCGTGTCTCCCCCGCAGCGTTGTGCCCGCGCCCAGAGAGTTTTGGATTCTGGAGCATTTTGATTAGGGGCACTCAGCCTGTATTATCATTTTCTGGATTTGCTTTTCCTTTTCATTATTTTAAAATTTTTTATTTATCTGTAAGGCAGATATATATCTACTTGTTCACTCTCCAAATGCCCACAACAGCCAGTGCTGGGCCAGGCCAAAGCCAGGAGCTCAGAACTCCATCCGGGTCTCTGATGGGAGTGGCAGGGGCCCGAGCACTTGGGCCGTCCCTGCCGCCTCCCAGCGTGTGCGCGGGCAGGGAGCCAGCACGGAGGGCCAGGCAGCCACTGTGCCGGACGCCGGCCCCTGGGGCTGCTGCCGCCTCCTCCAGGCTGCACTGCTGGCACGGGGACATCTCTGCTTTCCCAGCTCGGTGACATGAGACTCTTAGCGGTGAAGTATCCTGGCAGGTGTCTGGTCCCCCAAAGACGCCAGGTCTCGCCCCGACACGGCCCGGCCTGCCCCGGCGGTCGTCGAGTGTGCAGGGTCAGAGGCACCGTGTGCGGTGTCCTGGGCGGTGTCCCAGCCGCCTCCAGGCTGTGGCTGTCAGCTCTGTTAAGAGGGGATAGCCGCAGGATTGGGAGGGGGTGCTGGGTAGGCCTCACTTCATTTTGGCTTTACTCTCATTGCAAAACTTCAGTGGTTGATTTCAACATTCATTCATTAACAAAAAGGCGTGAAATACTGACGTGCTTTACGTGCTGTGGTGAAGAGCGAATAGAACCTACGGGCACCTTGCCGGGCGGGCGGGCGCTCTCCGCGTGGAACGGGGGGTGTTAGGAGTTCCAGCTTTTCTGCTTGGCCTTCGCCAGATGCTTTCTCCTGAGCTGCCCTTTGGGTGGTCCGACCGACCCTGTAAGCTAATTCTGTATAAAAAAGTGTCTCCACGGAGTGTCTTACCAGCTCTGGCTCCCCAGAGGGAGAGCTGTCCCCGCCCGAGGCAGACAGAGTGGGCCTGTCCTGTCCCCAGCGTGCTGTCCTCCCTGCCTGTGCCGCGTCCTTTCTCAGCCCCCGGTCGCACCTGCCTGCTCGGCCCCGGTGCCGAACAGCTGAGGCTCTGCTGTGCAGGGCACTGGAGCTGGGGCCCAGAATCACGTGCTCCTGCTCTGTTATTTCCTAGAATTCGATTCGCCACAATCTCTCTCTGAATCGCTATTTCATCAAAGTGCCGCGTTCCCAGGAAGAGCCTGGCAAAGGCTCCTTCTGGAGGATAGACCCCGCCTCCGAGAGCAAGCTGGTGGAGCAGGCCTTCCGGAAGAGGCGGCCGCGCGGCGTGCCCTGCTTCCGGACGCCGCTGGGACCGCTGTCCTCCAGGTGAGGGTCGAGGCGCACGCGGCCCCGATTGTCACCTGTGTGCCTGACCCCTCCTGGCGGGCGGGGCGGGGCGGGAGCAGGATGAGGGTGTTCTCTCTTCCTGTGCAGGTGGAAAGTGAGATTGACTTGTTCAGTGTCAGTTGCCTGATGACGTGTTTTTAGCTTCATAAATAAGTAGTGTTTAATCACAGGAGAAGGGTGTGTAACCCAAGGCACCGGCCACACTGCTCCTGCTGCCCGCCTGCCCACGGGGCCAGGGGCGTGGAGGGACGTGTCAGCAGAGACCCTGTGCGCAGAGCGCACGCACTAAACAGCACACTCCCTGAGCACCGCCCTGACAGCCGTGTCTTCTCGGTGACAGGAGTGCACCGGCCTCCCCCAACCACGCTGGAGTGCTGTCTGCCCACTCCAGCGGCGCCCAGACCCCCGAGAGCCTGTCAAGGGAAGGCTCGCCGGCCCCCCTGGAGCCTGAGCCCGGCACCTCCCAGCCCAAACTCGCCGTCATCCAGGAAGCCCGGTTTGCCCAGAGTGCACCAGGTGAGAACACAGGAGAGGAAGTGACACGCCAGGTGAGAACACGGGAGGGGGTGACACTGGTGAGACACACGGGCCGGGACGTGAGCTCAGCACAGAAGCGCCTGGGCTTCAGGTGGCTCTGTAGCTGGGGCCTCGTCCCGCCTCGCTGCTGCACGGCACCGGCCTGGGGAACTCTAGCCTTCGTCTCAGCCGCGCCATGCAGAGCCCCGAGGGCGGTGCGCTAGACTGGACACGCTGGGAGCAAGCACAGGTGACCGCGGCCGTGTCCTTGGAGGCTCACATCGTGGGTTGTGGGATAAAGTGCGCCCTCAGGATCGCGTTAAAACGCACGTACTGTACAGATGTGTCCAGTCGAGTCGGCAGAATGCGCATTTTGGTCCCTTGGTGGAATTGGCAGCCACGCTGGCCCAGGCAGGGGCACAGACAGCTGTCCTTCTCGGCCTGCGACCTGACCCGGGGGGTAGGGTTGGGGGGAGCTGTGAGCACCCGGCTCCGGGAGATCTGGCCCGGCCGTGTTTTCTTGCTGAGGAGAGAGCTTGGGGAAGAGCTGTTCTCAGAACGCTGAGAGGAGGACGGAAGTGTCCCTACTGGGACACCGCGCTCCCTCCTCGTCACCATGACAAGCTGCCCCGGGGCGGTCTCCGTGCTCCCGTGGGAACGCGCGTGCTGCTCCGTGCTCGGTGTAGGGCGCCAGCAGAGCGAAGCACGGGTGTGCCTCAGGCCTGCTCTCGCCTCCTCCACAGGCTCACCTCTGTCCAGCCAGCCGGTCCTGATCACCGTGCAGCGGCAGCTGCCGCAGGCGGTCAAGCCTGTCACCTACACCGTGGCCGCCCCGGTGACCACCTCCCCCTCCCAGCCGCCCGTCGTGCAGACGGTTCACGTCGTGCACCAGATCCCCGCGGTGTCCGTCACCAGTGTGGCTGCGCTGGCCCCGGCGAGCACACACACTGTCGCTGGGCAGGCTGTGGTCACTCAGGCAGCTGTGCTGGCTCCTCCTCAAGCAGAGCCGCAGGAGAACGGAGACCACGGCGAGGCGAAAGGTGAGGGCGCGGGCGCGCCGGCCCCCTCTGCGGCCTTCCCTTGGTGGGAGGCGCTCAGTAAGCACGCCCAGCAGCTGTCTGCGTCTGACTGCAGGCCGGCGGAGCTGGTGTCGCCGACTCCCACTGGTGTCCGCTGTGCCATTTCTCCTCCTCCTCTCTGAATTGCAGTGAAAGTAGAGCCCCTTCCCGCCATCAGCCACGCCGCGCTGGGCTCCGCCGGCCGCATCGCGCAGACGCCGCAGGCCGCGCCCGTGCAGACCGTCACCCTCCTACAGCAGGCTCCTCTCGGGCAACACCAGCTGCCGATCAAAACGGTCACGCAGAATGGGACACACGTGGTCCCGCTCCCCACGGCGGTCCACGGCCAGGTGAACAACGGTGAGTTGGCATCTAAAAGTTTGCATTACCCATATAGGGAAGGGGTGTGTCCTCTACTGTGGACTGTGGCCGGTACGTTTTTCAACTGGACGGTGGGGCTTCGCACACGGCCGTGTGTGGGGACCCACACAGCGGCACTGCTGGGCCGGAGAGCTGAGCTTGGGCGAGCCCACATCCTCCTCTCCGACAGCAAGATACAAAGATGGCGTGTGAATGAAAGGATTGACTTATCTGTTGGTACAACTCAAAGCTGATCAAAGCCAGAGTAACTGTCTAGACAACCCAGAGGTGAAACGTCACTGAAGATGTTGAATACAAGGCTTAGAGAAAAGCACCTGTTAGCCGTGTCCACTCGCCATCACCGCTCTGCCGGGACAGCGGCCCTGGTGTCGGCGCCCGGAGCCTGCCTGCCGCGTGCCGAGAGTCGGCGCTTTCCTCTCTCTCCTGGGCTCGCTCGTTTGTTTTGTCTTTGCTGGAAAACTCTCCACAGAAACTGGTTTGGTCTGGCTCTCAGCACCCACTCGCGAGCTCTGTGGAAGCTGCCTTTCTCCTTAGCTGCTGGGTCTCCTGGGCCAGTTCCACACCGCCTTTGTCACTTGTCTCAGGCTCCTCCTCGCAGCCTGGAGTCCTGGGTAGAGCTGTGTGGGCTTTCTTTTCTTTAAAGATTTACTTCCTGAGAGGGAGTCGCAGACGGAGAGAGGAAGAGGCAGGGAGGTCTTCCATCCGCCGCCTCACTCCTCAATTGGCCGCAGCGGCCGGAGCTGAGCCAGGAGCTTCTTCCAGGTCTCCTGTGCAGGTGCAGGGGCCCAAGGACGTGGGCATCTTCCTCTGCTTTCCCAGGCCACAGAGAGCTGGGTCAGAGGTGCAGCAGCCAGGACTCAAACTGGCGCCTGTGGGATGCCGGCGCTGCAGGCGGTGCCCTTACCCGATAGGCCACAGTGCTGGCCCCTCATTGTGTATCTCTAATCGACAAGGATCTTGCTATTACAGTTTTAAATTTAATAATTCCTTTATACCAAGTGTCTCAAGCTCAGTAACTGATGCTGCTTGTAATGATTGTGTTAAAATATGCACAGTAGAAAGCCTGCACCATCCTGAAGTGTGCAGTTGAGCGTTAAACAAACTCTCGGTGTGGAAGCCGCCACCTCTCACCTGGTTCACAACGTCTCCTCATCCTCCGTTCAGCCGGGTCTGGCAGCCGCGGGGTGGCTCTGTGTCCCTGACGTGTTTGGGACCCCGCATGCCTGTGCGGGCGGCAGCGTGGGGCCTCCCAGGCCTCACCCATGCTGTGTCAGGCCGGATCCTCCGTGGTCAGATGTTGCTCCCTGCGCAGGCGCGGCGACACGCCCCTGTGCTCCCGGCCGTCCGAGCCAGCGGTGACGACTCGTGTGTCTGAGCCCCGTTTCTGCTTCTGGGCGCACACCCAGGCTTGGAACCCGGTGGCTGTGCGAGTCTGTGCTCAAAGTATTCAGGAGTCGCCAGCGTGCTCGCGCCAGCCGGGAGCCGCCTCCCACGCTGGCCAGCAGCGCCTCTTGTGGCCGTGGCCGTGGCCGTGGTGAGGTGGGTGCCTGGAGGGTTGCCCGGGCTGGCGATGGGCGGTGCTGGTGTGGCGGGGTCTGTGCAGCTGCTGCCCCGGATTCCGAGCTGCTGGCCGCTGGCGCTGGTTTCCGTTCCGGATGCCCGTCCGCTCTCAGACCCTGCCCGGGAGGTGTTGTCTCCCGTCTGTGGGTTTGTGGGTTACCCTTTTCAGTTTCTTGATGGTGTTTGCACAAGTGTTTAATGTGGTAAAGTCCACATTTATCGATTTTTTTCTTTTGACTTCCTGTGTTTTGTCTCCTATGTAAGAGACCACTGACAGATCCAAGAACGTGAACACTTGCGCTAAGAACTCGGTTAAATCCCTAGCGCTTAACCCTCTGCATGCCGTGTGAGGCCGGGACCCTTCCGTTCTTGGCACGTAGGTGTGACGGGCCTGCCTTGGTGACGGTCAGTCGGCCACGTGCTCGCACAGCTGTCCTCGCGGCCTTCCCACGGCCTGCTGTGTCTGTCCCTGAGCTCGCTGGAGCTCCTGGACCCGGGAAGTGCGGAGCCCGCCAGGTCTGCCCCCTTTCCACGGTGCATCTGGTGACTCCAGGCCCCTTGCGGCTCGGCTTTTCTGCTTCTGCACACAGAGCGCCGGGGTGTGGACAGCAGCTGCGCTGAAGGCCAGCCGAGGGCTGCTGTCTGGCAGCGGCAGGCCATGTGTCTGCACACACATCGTGGTTGGTTCCGGGTCTTCACAGCTGCCATTCGGTCTGGCGGTTAAGGTGCTTCCTGGGATGCCCACACGGCCTGTCCGAGCGCCTGGTTCGAGTCCTGGCCCCGCTCCTAATTCCAGCTTCTTGCTAGTGCACACCCGCCGGTAGGCCGGGAGGCAGCAGTGACGGCACCGGTGGTTGGGTCCGGGCCACCCACGTGGGAGCCCTGGATGGAGACCCAGCTCCTGGCTGCATCCTGGCCGCTGGGGACACTTGGAGCATGAGCCAGGGGCCAGGTTCTGCAGCTCTGCTTCCCTTGGCCTGTCAAACGAAAAATAAAAATTCTAAGTAGTTTTTTTTAATAGAATCGTTTCCTAATTCCCTTTTTTAATTTTCCGTTGCCACAGTGTAGATACACAGCTGATGTTTGCTCACTGTCTTGACCCTGCTGAGTTCATGTATCAGCTGTAACGGGCTTTTTCTTTTTTCTTTTTTAATTTTTAATTTTTTTTTTTATTTTTTTGACAGGCAGAGTGGACAGTGAGAGAGAGAGACAGAGAGAAAGGTTTTCCTTTTGCCGTTGGTTCACCCTCCAGTGGCCGCCGCGGCCGGCGCACCGCGCTGATCCGATGGCAGGAGCCAGGAGCCAGGTGCTTTTCCTGGTCTCCCATGGGGTGCAGGGCCCAAGCACCTGGGCCATCCTCCACTGCACTCCCGGGCCACAGCAGAGGGCTGGCCTGGAAGAGGGGCAACCGGGACAGAATCCGGCGCCCCGACTGGGACTAGAACCCGGTGTGCCGGCGCCGCTCGGCGCAGGATTAGCCTAGTGAGCCGCGGCGCCGGCCTGTAACGGGCTTTTTCTTTCTCGTTTCCATTTGCGTGTCTTCGTGCACGAGCGTCATCAGCAGGATTTTCTGATGTGGGACGACGTTTCCTTCCCCTTCGGACGTCCTGTCTTGGTGCTGGTGCCGCGCTCTGCTGGGGCTGTGCCGCGCTGAGGGTTCGCCTCGTCTGGGCTTGGGTTTTGCTCCCCGTGAGGAGGCGGCATCGCCTCCCGCTTGCTGGTGCACTCTGTCCCGCTGGTCGGTTTCCTGTGTGACCAACCTTGCACTCGGGATAGCCCCGTGTGGCCGTGGTGTGTGGTGCTTTAACGCTGCACAGCGTGTCGGGCCAGTGTCCTGGCCAGGTCTGCACCGGTACTCATGGAGCGTTAGCCTGTGGTCTTTGTTGTTGTCTTAAAGATTTTTTATTTATTTGAAAGGCAGTGTTAGGGAGAGCTCTTCATCTCCTGGCTTGTCCCCAAAGTGGCTACAACGGCCATGGCTGGACCAGGTCAAAGCCGGGAACCTGGAACTCCGTCCGGGTCTCCCACAAGGGTGCAGGGCCCGAGCACTCGGCCGTCTGCTGCTGCTTTCCCGGTGCGTTACCAGGGAGCTGGATTGGAAGTGGAGCAGCCGGGACTTGAGCCTCAGCTCCCGTGGGCTGCCAGCTGTGCACAGCGCTGGCCCTGGCCCGTGGTCTTCCCTTCTGTGGTTTGCTGGTGTTTGGACATGGGGTCTGTGTTCGCAGGGACGCGCCTGTGGTTTTCCTCTGTGGCACCCTCGGCTCTGGGGTCAGGGTGAGGCTGTCTTCGGAGCGGAGTCAGGAAGGATTTCCTCTGCTTCCGATTCGCGGGAGCCCGTGAGGGTGTTTGCTGGAAGGCGCGAGCCGGCAGGTTGGCCGGGACTTGCTGAGGTCCTGAGTCACTCATTCTCCTTGAAGGTGGACAGCCTCCGCCCCACCCCCTTTTTTGTGGTTATTTTCAGTTTGCTAGATGAGACTGTAGACGTCGCTTTCACACGCGGCATCCTTGGGGACTTCTGAGACGTTCAGAACAGCAGCCTTGACCTGTATGTGTCGCTGTGCGGGTCACTGCTGTCGCGATATTTTCTCTACTTGGTTTTTCTTGAGCGGGGGCCGGGCCCAGGGAGCCTCCGCCTGCCGCCCGGGGACAAAGCCGGGAGCCTCCGCCCAGTGACCGCGACCTCAGGGGAAGAGCCTACTTTTTTTTAAGATTTATTTTATGTGAGACAGAGTGACAGCTTTCCCATCTGCTTGGTTCGCTCCTCATCGCCACAGTGAGCGGGGCTGGGCCGACCCGAAGCCAGGAGCTTCTTCCGGGTCTCCCTCATGGGTGCAGGGCCCAAGCACCTGGGCCGCCTCCCGCCGCCTCCCCAGGCGCATTGGCCGGGGGCTGGGTGGGAAGAGGAGCGGCCGGACTGGAACTGGTGCCCGCGTGGGGTGCTGGCGGAGGCTCTTCATTTTCTTTCTTAAAGATTTTCCTTATTCGTGTGAGAGGTAGAGTTGCAGAGGGAGACAGGCAGGGAGGCCTTCCCCCACTGGCTCACTCCCCAGATGGCCGCAGCGGCCAGCGCTGTGCTGATCCGGGGCCAGGAGCACGAGCCGCCTCCGGGTCGCCCATGGGGTGCAGGGGCCAAGCACTGGGGCATCCTCCACTGCCCTCCCGGGCACAGCAGAGAGCGGGATCAGAAGAGGAGCAGCTGGGACTTGAGCCGGTGCTCACTTGGGATGCTGCCGCCACAGTGTAGCCCCTGCCTCTCCTGCTGGGTGCGAGGACTTGAACCCCCGGCCGGTGCTGGCTCCTCAGTCAGAGCCGGCTGGCGGCGCACGGGGCTGCCGGAGGGTGACGGGAGCTGTTATGGTGGGCCGAGGAAGCCTGTGTGGTGCGGCCTTGTTCTCTGGAGTCGTCACTCCAGGCCTCTGGATTCCCCATGCAGGTCTGGGGTGCTGAGCCTGGGGGAGCCCCCCCGCGCAGCGTGTGCCCTGCAGCCGGTCCTCCTGGCCCACACGCCCCCCTCGAGTGCAGAGGGGTGAGCCACACGGGAGCGCCGGCTCCCGACTCCAGCTTCCTGGGCGGGGCGGGGCACAGCCCAAGGCCGGGGGCCGCCTCCCGGGTGTCCCGCCTGCGGCTGGGCTCCGAGCCGGGACGTCCCAGGGGCTGGGGCTGGAAGCCGAAGGACGAGCCAGCTCTCCTTCCCGCCGGGCGCCGGGGTCTCTGGGGTGGGCTGGGGCTGGGCGGGGTCCTGTCCCGGATGGGGTCTGACGCGCGCTCTCTCCCAGCAGCAGCCGCGAGCCCTTTACACATGCTGGCGACCCACGCCTCCGCCTCCGCCTCCCTGCCCACCAAGCGCCAGAACGGCGGCCAGGCGGAGCAGCCGGAGCTGAAGCGGATCAAGACGGAAGACGGAGGCGACGGCATCGTCATTGCGCTGAGCGTGGACACGCCCCCCGCGGCCGGCAGGGAGAAGGGCTTGCAGAACTAGGGCTGGCGCGCCTCTCACTGTAGAAATCAACTTCCTGGTGCCAAAAGGAGACGCTGCCTCCCGCCGGAGCGCACCCTCCCCAGTGGTAGAGGCCCTGTGGTTGACTGCACTCAGCGCTGAACACAGAACCCGGGTGGCCTTAGAGACACGTCACATTGAACAAACCCACACCACAGCCCGGTTCCGGGACCGTGTCTCCTGCCGGGCGTCTGCCAGGCTGCTGCCTCTGGGCCCAGCTTTTACCTACGAGCGCGAACTCGGGTCCTGCCCAAGACCGCGCGGCTCCGTGAGGATGGCGCGGTGCGCGCCCGGTGCACGCGGAGCTCCCAGGACTGGGCCCTCCTCCAGGGGCGGGCGGGAGCCACCCCTGCCCTCCCAGGACCCGCCGGCTGGCGCTGGGAGACAGAACAGTGTTTTGTTGTCCACACGTGGAACGGCCTGGAGTTGACCCTCCTTACAGAGTCGCGGGTCTGACATTTCACAGCACTCCATTTCTACCCGAAGTTCCGGAGCCACACCCCCTTGTGTGGGTTTCTGTTTTCTGCCCACGGGATGAGTTCCGACGGGGCCACCCTTCCAGAGCTCTGCCGAGAGCCCGTGTCGGACGGACAGACGGACAGACGCCGCGGCTGCATGTGACCAGAGAACCCAGGGAGGAGCGGCGACGGCGAGGCCGGCCAGGACGTGTCTGCTCCTCCTGTTCCTTCCTGGCTGGTTTGTTACTTGTTTCTTTATGTTGACTTTGTCCCTGGCATAATTTCCCACTGAGTAAAACCAGTCTCTGCAGCGTTGTGTTCGGTGAACAGCAGGGCCCTCCCCGGCCAAGGCCGCACTCCTCGGGGGCTCTGGGGCCCAGGTGTGCTCACGGCCCCGTCGCTCTGGTTACCACGAGGGTCCTAGGAGCACGCAGCCTCGGAGGGGTGCTGGACACGCAGAGGCCGCCTTGGGTCAGCTGGATGTCGCCGCGTGTCCTCCAGAAGGGGCACGGAGCCGGGGGCGAGGGGCTGAGGGGCCCGGCCCCGTCGGGAAGGAAGCGCCTCCCCAGGGGCTCCAGGGGCTCCAGGGGCTCCAGGGGCAGGGCCGAGCAGCCAACAGGAGGGCTTCAGCCTTAGTGTGAGCTTTTAAATGTCATCATCATAACGTTATTTATTGAAATGTAGTTATTTTGGTATTTAAATTTTTTTTTTAAAGAGGAAAAAAAATACCTGTATTTTCCTGGTGGAATGAAACAGCTCAGAATGGTATATTTAGGCAATTTTTAAACATTTATTATTTACATAAAGACCAAATATAAATCTGTTCTAAGTATTGTGTGTCAATCCACAGTCTGGAGCTGTCACAATGTTACTGCAGATACTGCATATTAAAAATTCTGAAATTACTGCACACTAGCTGGATTCATAACTCAGCCATTTAAAAATAAAAACGAAACCATCCTGTGAATGAGACAACGTGTGTGACAGGGGCCAGGTCTGCCTCCCAAACCCCACGGACCTGGGGGCCGGGAGCCCCTGGGCTGCGTCCACGCCCCGGGTGCTCGCGGTTTGGCTTGTGCCGGCCCTGGGAGTGGGGCCAGGTCACCGCACACAGGTGCAGGGCAGCAGCCGGCCCTCCCCCCACGGCTGCGGCACGTCCCGCCCTGTGTGTGGTGCCACCGGAGACCCGGGCGGTGCCCCCAGCGCGGGCTCAGCCTATGAGCTGCTTGCTGCTGAGCCTAAAACACAACCTTGAGGGTCTGGAAGAGTTCCTTTGGGATCGAAGGTAAGGAAACACCAGCTCCAGTTCTAAAGGAAAAGCACCCGCTCTCCGCGCCAGCGAGAGGCACGCACGCTCCCTGCTCCCGCTGCCACGCTCACCAGCAGGCGTCAGGACGGCAGGAGAGGGCGGAAACACGGCCGCGGTTAGGAGCCGCCTGGCCCGGTTTCCGTCTCCCTCCAAGGCGCCGTGTTTCACCTGTGCACTTAGCGCTGAGCCCCCTCCCAGCAGGGTCGCCCGTGTGGCTGCAGCCCCCGCCCCGACCGCAGTCCACTCCCTGGCCCCTGCCGGGGGTCCTCGGCGTCCGTCTGTCTCAGTCTTGCCGAACCTCTGAGCTCCCTCAGGGACTAGAACCAGAGCAGCTGTGCCTGAGCCACAGTCCAGCCGCCAGGCGTGCGCCACGTGTGCCGGCTCGGTCTCCACGCTGTGCACAGGAGACACATGGCAGACCTGGAGTTCTGACTTCCACTGTTAGAAAGCAGAGTGGTGGTTTGTGTGCAAAGATTGGAAATTTTAAAAATTACTGAGTCCTGAAATTCAATAAAATATTTTTACTAATTTTCATTGAATACAGAGTATCATTGTCGTTCTGGCAGATGCACCTTTCTTTCTCGCTTTTTACCTGAATGCCCTCCTCCGCGCCCGGAGCAGTGGGCGAACGAGCCGGGGCGCTGCCTCCCGGCGCTGTTGGCTCGAGGGTGCGCCCTTCACCCTGGGGAGCGAGGTCCCCAGAGACTGCAGTGTCCCAGCTTCCGGAGGTCTGACGCCCACGTCCTGAAGCCTGCCCTGCGTGCTGTCGGCACACACCAAGGAGCTGGCGGTGCCGAAGCAGGACACGGAGGCCCCGCTGGAGCCCAGTGAAGCCACGCCGCCGTGGTCTGCCGGCACGCCAGACTCTGCCCGGGGAAACCGTCGTCCCGGCTCCAGAGGTTAACGGCCAGGCTGCCGGGCGACCTCGCTTCACTGCAGACAAGTCAGGGGCAGCCTCGCAGCCCCGGTCATCGCGGTGGGGCGGCCGCTCCTGGTTTACAGGCAACGATGAGAGAAACCACAGCCCACCAGCCACCGGGCGGTCAGAACGGGCTGGGCCTGTGGCGCCCACCAGCCACCGGGCGGTCAGAACGGGCTGGGCCTGTGGCACGCCTGTTGAGATGCTGCTTGGGACAAGTGCACTCCGTGTCTGTCAGAGGGCCTGGGTTCAAGTCCTGGCCCTGATTCCAGCTCTGCTGGTGTGTTGATGGAGGGTGATGAGGTGGGTGACGGCTCTAGTGAGTCACCGACGTGGATGACCCGACAGTCCAGTCTGCGTCGGCCTGGCCCAGCCCCGGCTGTTGGAGGTTTTGCAGAGTGAACCAGCAGCTGTGAGCGTTCTCTCTGCTTTTCAAGAACAAACTTTTTTCCAAGTTTTGAGTCTGAAGTGGGACTCTGGCCTGCGAAGACAGACCTGTGGCTGCAGTGCTCCCGCTTTGGGGGCGTCCTCCACGGATCCCGGGCCCGACTCCTGGTCACGCACGGACTGCTGGGAGCAGCAGCCAGAGCCGTCAGGCCTCTGGAAGGTGGGTCCTGCGTGGTGACGAGCAGCAGTCCCGTCTTGCCCTCCCCAGCAGGGCAGACAGCAGCGAGGACTGGACATGCTCCCCTCCGGGAGGGGCTGTGTCCGCTCAGGCGGGTCGACCCTCTTTCTCGTTACTTTCTCTGTGTCCCTCGGCTCCGAGCTGGACGCAGGAGGGGTGGGAACGTCTCGGGGAAGCTAAGCCTGAGCTTGTCGTTCAAGGATGAGGCCCGCTTGGGAGACAGGAAGTGGGAGACAAGGTGAAGCGGTTAGAGCGAGCTCCCCCCTCCCTCCCAATGACGCTGGGTCCTCAACTGCACGGCCACGGCTCAGCGGCCCCAGGCCCGTGCGTCTTGAGCCAACGGGAGAACTGTCCGCAAAGCCGCAGCTCGGCCCCGCGGCGTCAGAGCTATCGCCAGTCTCCACGGGGTTTGACGGGAATCTCAAGAACACAATACGAAATTATTCAGCCTGGCCTGAGGAGACAGGAGCAGACCCGCTCCAGCAGGACCCGAAACACTGGGAACAGAACAGCACGGCCTCGCGGCAGACGCCACAGAGCCTGGAAGCGGCGTGCGGTGCTCAGCGGGGACTCGGATGAACCAGGCCCCGGGCTTGCGCAGCATAATGTGTGTGTAAGTGGGCTGCACGGGGAGCTTGGTGGTTTCTTAAGAATCTTTTTGTGCCGGTGCCGCGGCTCACATGGCTGATCCTCCACCTGCGGTGCTGGCACCCCGGGTTCTAGTCCCGGTTGGGGCGCCGGATTCTGTCCCGGTTGCCCCTCTTCCAGGCCAGCTCTCTGCTGTGGCCTGGGAGGGCAGTGGGAGACCAGGAGGAAGCACCTGGCTCCTGCCTTCGGATTGGTGCAGCGCTGGCCGTAGTGGCCATTTGGGGGGTGAACCAACGGAAGGAAGACCTTTCTCTCTGTCTCTCTCTAACTCTGCCTGTCAAAAAAAAAAAAAAAAAAAAAAGACATGCGTGTAGCAGGAGGGTACTTGAAAAAGTATCAGGCAGGGACATGGGAGCAGTTATTCTCGTGCAAAACAAAGGCAGCCAGTAGCTTCTTCAGAATCTGGATTTCTCACGTAGACCCCTCATACACGCACCAAATAAACAACAGGCCATTCCGTGGGAGCCAGGCCAGGCCGAGCAGGAAGGCCCTGCAGCATGTGGAGCGGAGAGCTGAGCCTCTGCGCCTCTGCCCCGAGGCCCTGAGACCCGGGGCTCTGTCCCTGGACTGGCGGGTTTGGGCGGGCAGCTGGCCATTATGCCGTGTGAGAAACCTTCTGGCTTCGCTTCTGTTGCATTTGGAGGCCCCCGGGATGCAGCTGATGGTGACGCAGAGCTACGCGTGTGGCTGCTGTGTGAGAGGAGCCGTCGCCTGTACCCACGGGAGGCTGGGAAGAAGCTCCGGGCTCCGGGTCGGTGCAGCCCGGCCGTCGCGGCCGTTTGGGAGGTGAACCAGCGGATGGAAGACCTTCCTCCCTCTCTCCCTCTGCCTTTCAAATAAAGTCAATCTTTCAGAAAAAGTGGAACTGCCGAATGGCTGCAAAGGTCAACATGGTGGCCCACCTCCCTCGGGTCACCGCCCTCCAGACGCCGGCCGCCGCGCCCCGAGGGGAAGCGGGTGAGCGCAGTCTCGGGATCGCCCCAGCCCGTCCTGCCCAGGGTGCGTGGCCAGCCTAGGTCAGATGAAAGGAAACAAGGCCAGTTTGCAAGGAAGTACCCAGGAAATCGCCCCGTCTGACGGGACTTTGTACAGAACATCCAAGCTCTGAGACTTCGTAAGCTCGGTGCTTTCTTAAGATGCTTTAGTCATTCAGATTTGTCTGGTGGAACAGTGGCACACACAGACGTAACTCCTGGCTTGAAACAGGTCTTCCCCAAAGCAAGACTGGGCTAGCCACGCGCGGTGTCAGTGTTGCAGGAGCCACGTGCTCCTCCAGGCGGCTTCAGGAGCGAGCAGGAAACCTGCGCCTCTGAGACGGCTCAGGGGCTGGGAACGCAGCTGCCTCACCCGGGGCACAGGCTGGCTGGCTGGGGCCGGATCTGCCAGGTCTGAAAAGTCTGCCTCTGCTTAGGTCCTGAGGTCCTTGGACAACTGCAGTACGGAAGACGAGGCTGTTGAGAAAGTCTTCATTTGGAAATTTGAGATACCAAAAAATGCCAGCGTCCTGCCAGCTTCAGAATACACTGTAGAGGGCAGGCGCCGTGGTGCAGTGGGTAAAGCCGCCGCCTGCAGTAGTGCCGGCATCCCATATGGGCGCCAGTTCGAGTCCCAGCTACTCCACTGCTGATCCAGCTCTCTGCTGTGGCCTGGGAAAGCAGTGGAAGATGGCCAAGTCCTTGGGCCCCTGCACCCCTGTGGGAGACCCGGAAGAAGCTCCTGGCTCCTGGCTCTGGATCAGCGCAGCTCTGGCCATTGCAGCCAATTGGGGAGTGAACCAGCGGGTGGAAGACCTCCCTCTCTCTCTCTCTCTCCCTCTCTCTCTCTCTCTCTGCCTCTCCTCTCTGTGTAACTCTGACTTTCAAATAAATAAATAAATCTTAAAAAAAAATATACAACTTTGTGAAAGACAGAAAACAGTGTTTTTATGGAATTTTACAACACTAAATTCTCAAATTAGAAATGGTCTAATATCATCTAAGCTTCCACCTTAACAAACTCAATCCAAAGCAAGCAAAGTTGAAAAAATAAAAGGGGGAAAAATGAACTAATACTCTTTGATGAAAACAGAGTGAACCTCCACAGTGAGGACAGGAGAGGACACAGCCGCGTGCTGTCGGGAACGAGAAGGGCTCGGGTTCCGCCCTGGGCTGGGGCGGGTGAACACAAGGCTCCTCACAGGGCCACGGGGGCTGGCCCCGGGAGCACGCAGCACACACAGGGGCGGTCAGAGTTGGCTTCGTGGCATCCCCGGTTCTGTGCCAGGATTAGGGCAGCTCACTGCTGGCAGGGAACTGAAACGCGCGCCTCAGGGCTGCGCGGGCAGAGCACCTGGTCCATCTCACAGGGAGGGTTGACGGGACTGAGCCCACAGGAGCGGAGCGGGCAAGGGAGGGGCCTGTGGTTGGGCCATTCCATGTCTTCCCAAGGGCAGCAAGGGTCACAGCAGCTGGACACAAATCTCATTCGGTCACCCCAGACCCCCCTAGGGGTAACCTCATTCAGGCCTGACATCACCCCAGACCCCCTAGGGGTAACCTCATTCAGGCCTGACATCACCCCAGACCCCCTAGGGGTAATCTCATTCAGGCCTGACATCACCCCAGGCCCCCTAAGGGGTAACCTCATTCAGGCCTGACATCACCCCAGACCCCCTAGGGGTAATCTCATTCAGGCCTGACATCACCCCAGGCCCCCTAAGGGGTAATCTCATTCAGGCCTGACATCACCCCAGACCCCCTAAGGGATAATCTCATTCAGGCCTGACATCACCCCAGGCCCCCCTAAGGGGTAACCTCATTCAGGCCTGACATCACCCCAGACCCCCTAGGGGTAATCTCACAGGCCTGACATCACCCCAGGCCCCCCTAAGGGGTAATCTCACAGGCCTGAGGTCACCCCAGACCCCCCTAGGGGTAATCTCACAGGCCTGAGGTCACCCCAGACCCCCTAGGGGTGATCTCACAGGCCTGAGGTCACCCCAGACCCCCTAGGGGTAATCTCACAGGCCTGAGGTCACCCCAGACCCCTTAGGGGTGATCTCACAGGCCTGAGGTCACCCCAGACCCCCCTAGGGGTAATCTCACAGGCCTGAGGTCACCCCAGACCCCCTAGGGGTAATCTCACAGGCCTGACATCACCCCAGACCCCCTAGGGGTAATCAGGGCGTGTGTCCTGCAGCCGCTGAGCTTGGGGTGCCTCCCCCACCAGGCAGCCTGGTTCCAGTCCCAGCTCAACTTCCAAGCCAGCCTCTTGCTGACGTGCCCCGGGAGGCAGCAGGTGACGGCTCACGTACTTGGGTCCTGCCACCCACAGCAGAGACCCAGGTGGAGTCCCAGCCTCTTGGCTTT